TATATATATATATATATATATATATATATATATATATATAGGTCCTGGGTTCGAGCCTCGCGTGGTGCGGGATCGTGGATGCGCACTGCTAAGGAGTCCCATAATAGGACGAAACGGCCGTCCAGTGCTCCCAGGTTTTCCATGGTGGTCTAGCTTCAATTGACTCATGATTTCAACCTGTGAAATTTCCTGAATTCTCCACAAAACCCATTCTAATATATATATCGTAACAGATGCAAACGTTCACCATTTTTAACACATAACATTGTCAAACTCATTAAAACATGCCTTATTTTTGACCTTTGTAAAAAATATTATAATTATGGACTTATAACTGTAGAGCCTGATGATGAAGTTATTGAAACACAATTGTTCACTCAAATATTCTTCGTTTTTGTATAAAAATTTCATCTAAAATATATTATTTTTATCGAAAACAGTAAAAGTAATGGTAATTTGTACAGATAAAGATAAAATGAGTCCTTCAAGTAAGTGAATAAATATAAATTAACCACACAAATACAAAGTATATCGGCGTTCAACAAGAAATGGATAGGGGACTCTTTCACACAATCATGTAAAAAAAAGTTAAAAGCGACACATATCATTATGAATAAACAACGAACGTAGCAATTAATACCTTTAGAAGTAAAAAACAAACTAAAGATTTCAAATAATACTTACAACTATTAGCGATCGGCAGTTCTTTGAGATATGGATGCTTTGTTGTGTGCAAAATCTTAAAAATAGCTAAACATGCACAAACTACTGAATCTTGGACAGTAGCATAACATATTCATAAAAAGTAAAAAGGGTGGGAAGAAATGAAGGAGCAGAATGGATCCGATGCCAACAAATAAAGGAAATCAAATACTACATAACGAGTAACATCGGGTTATACATTAATTCATTTGATAAATAACGTTTAATGAAAGATTTAAATATGTCTGGATATTAGTAGATATCATTTCGCAATCAAATAATTTAACATTAGTGGGAATGGGTGCTAGTAAATGTTATACGGTAATGATAATATTAAATTAAAATGGTAGACAATAGGATTTCAGTTTTATCGAACCAAAATTAACATATTCGCCAAGAAATATAAACACATTTCGCTCATAAATATTCAGTACTGAGACCTTACACACAAACAGACAATATTGTTTTTCGAATGCTAGTTTACAGTGGAATTCCGGACTTACAACTGGTTCAGCTGTATCGACATCACAGCGTTGATGCTCATGTTGAAACCCAAGCACAACTTTTACTGCTCAAAAAAGCAATATATTATCAGCCAAGAACGAAATCCATATAATAAACGTGATTGTTAAGTATAATCCGAAAAAGCTAATGAACACTTGTAACTACAAGCCACTTAACCACTTGGCTCAGTGTGTATATATTCCATAGTTACATACAATTCTCAATATCAAGAGGAGAAAATTAAGAAACCTTACAAATAGAATACAATACTGTCTAATGATCTTAGGTTTACAGCTAGTCCATAGTGAACGTTATTTCCGAAATATTCAAATTTCTTATTGAAATAGCCGGAAAGAATTAAATCTTTACACTTAGGGATTAATTTGATTGACAGTTGAGTGAACTAAGTAAACTGTACCATGGAATTACATGTGTTTCAGATTACCATTAGTAATCTTTATTTTGATTCTGAAGTGATTTAAATGATTTTTCCGGTTCGAAATTTCTTCAACGATTTTTCAACGACATGACATTGCTAAACCCATGCTTAACCCTCCTCATTTGTCTGAGCTAGAGACCTGAAGTAACCCGAAGAAATCTACAGTAGCACATGACACTGTTAGTACTCAATAATAATACCATAACTGAAAAATGATAAAATAATTATTTCGGACATTCAAATATAAATAATAGACATTATACTGTGCTTCATAAATTCTATGCACAAACAAAACCAACTTTTACGAATTGACAAAACAATGATGCACAGCTAAGAAAAGCTAACAGGCTTAACGACTGATATAATTAGGTTGATCTAAATTTTTACTTACGTTGTATGCAATATATATATATATATATATATATATATATATATATATATATATATATATATATATATATATATATATATATATATATATATATATATTGGTTATCAGAAGAGATTTTTACTTAACTATATTACATACAAGGAATAAACTGAATATCATTAAATTCCCAGAGTATCCATTTTCCAGTATTAAATATAGTCTAAGCACCAAGACTTCTTAGTATTCTTTACATTCATATACTAGGTGTGTGTTGCATTGAAGCGCATAAATTTTAATAGAGAATTTCAATTCAAGCTCTAATTTTCACCTTATTTAAATTCTTCAGGATGCAAACTATAATGCATTAAAATGATATACATAAAAAGGATATTACCAAAGACATTTCTATATTTGAAATGAGATCGTTAGTGGAAATTATACTTTCATAAACAGCATTCACAGAAAAGATCAAAAAGGAAAGTGTTCTAGGATGCACGGAGTATTAATTGTATTGAACGATGAAAAAGCATTGGTGAAACTCGAACCAAATAATACATATGCAGCAGTTATTCAATGAGAAACTGACAAGTTAAACAAGTATAACAAATCGAAATGAGAAAGAATGATGTTAGAATTATTAACTGATATTTGACCTAAACAGTTTTAATGAAAATATAGACTTAAAAATGGGAGAATGAAATCAAAAGTAATTTGATGACCAAAGAGAAGAAAGAAGTCTTACAAAAAATTTCCGAGTGTAGAGATCAGGTTCATGTAGGTGGACTCATACAAATTCCACTATATGAGAGAGTCAACTTCCCAAATCATAAAGTAAATTAAATGGGGTTCGAGTATTATTATCAATGCTACATTCATGTCAACTAAATGGACTAAGTAAACTGAATATCGAGGTAAAGAGTACCTTAATATTACTCCATCGCCACTGACTCAGAAGCGAAGCATAAACTTTCAACTCACATGTTTACAAATCAAACGCCTACACAGTCACGACATTTTCTACTAAACTGCAAACACCTTACTCAAGGAAAATAATAGGATGAGTGTTATGAATACTGAATTCTTCACTGAATCGAACCACAGAACATAGATCACTTGATTTCAGTTGAGAATTTGCACACTTATCCAACCTGGAAACAACGTAGTCGAAGTCTCACTATCATACACAACTCTATTTGTGATTGATCAATATCACGGAAACACACTCAAGATACAACTCTCAAAACTAAAGTACCTCTGCAAAGTTGATTCGTTCTATTGTAGGACCATCATTACAGTCCATGCGCTGAACCACCAACGAATAGAACAAGCAACCAATGACAAAGCGACAATTGAATTTCGCCTGCGAAATTGTCAAGACAGTCTGTCGATTGACTGGTTAGTGAGCACAAATTTAAGTGAAACGTGCAGTCAATTCCGAATGGATCTGTGGTGGAACATCACACTTCTAAAGCCAGACTGGTTAGATTTATTATGAATCACTCTAAGATCAGTTGGAACGGTGAAAATATGCACAACCTGAACTGAGGTCACGATTAACCATGAATAAATTCCTAACACTATAACATATTCATCACTTGTTGATGAGTGTTGGTTAATTGGTGGGTTGCTCATTGTTGGTGTGCAATGAACTATTCTTATTTTAAGTACGTCGCATTTGAATGCACGTTTAGTTTATGTTCAGTAATCTCATCTTAGTCACACGCTTCAACTCTCCTCTCCATGTGTCTCATGTTTGACTGTTCAATCAAACATTCACAGTATTAATATTGTCAATATATGTGATGCTTCTATTCTTCGTAAAACATTTCGTCCACACATGATATTCATTGTTCAGCTAAACATTAAATCTCATGATATGTTTATTCGGAATTCATGTATTGATTATTTTGGTCTACTACTACAACATCAACAACATTATGTTCGATGTGAATTACTGCATAGACAAAATAATGTGATTCGTATGTGTCCACCATCCTGCAAATCTATCATTCATAACACTCATGCCAGTAGAGTGTGTGACAAACACACGTGAATTTAACCTTGTCCTACAACCCATCATCAGATAGACGGGAATGTTAAGTCGATCTTTCTAATATATTGATTGATCGTTTCGAATTTATATTTATTCGTGTATGCAGTTTGTCATATTTCTGGTTGGACTTTCATTTCATGTGCTGCACACATATGGAACTTGTTTGTTCATGTGTCCCATAGAAATCAATGTGCGCCATTTCAAATAACAAATTTCATCTCGTGTCAATATAGTGGTTAGGAGGTTAAGTGCACAACATTGCGCACCAACACCACCACCACCACCACCAACACTCCAGATTCACATACTGTCCATCTGAGTGGCTACACTTTTGCGACAATGCAAAGTCTTCTCATCAGTAGTTTATATGGAGAATTGAGCTTGAAGTTTCTGCTACATTATAATTAGTGGAATCAACATACAGACAAATTGTTGGTAAGATTTGCCGATAACTATCGAATTGAAACGGGTAAATGATTGGTAGTTGACACAAAACTAAGGTGTAAATTAAATCTGTCTTAAAATTTAATGCATCATCATGGAAATGTTGTTCGAGGAATAAGCACATCGGAGTGAGTAAGTATTTTGACGAGATCAAAATCACGAATGTTTGACTAACCAATCAAACATGAGACACGTTAAAACAAGCATGCAGACCAGTGACCAAATACAATACAGATACCAGACACAAGCAAACAGACACAACTAAGCAAACATATCTGACATTCCACACCACACACCACACACCAACAAGCATTATCTGACTGTCTACTAAATCACTAACAAGCTAACAACAGTCAACCAATAGTAATTCAGTGCATAGGATATGCGATTGTTGATAGAAAAGTCTCAACGTGTCACCTGTCTGTCTCACACCCTCTTTCAAAGTATATTTCCATTCATTTCACAACCACAAAACAGATTGCTTGATTATGATCAATACAGTTCGAAAGTCAGCTTGTGCATCCAGACCACCACCATCAACACCATCGAAACAGAGCACAGTCACACGATACACAACTGAGGAGTCGGGTGAATTAGTCGAATTGATATTGAGATATCAGGATGTTTGGGAAGACAAGAGTCATCCATCCACACTTCTTCAGAAACATTTGTGGATGCAATTCGCACATTACCTACACTCGAAGGGATGGCCAAAAAGAAAATGGACTGATCTGCGACGAAAGGGCCAGCGCATGCTGAAGAAGCTCAATAACACGACAATCAATCAGTGGGAGGTGTCGAAAAGCAATCCCAATTCACCTGACAATCGCTCGAACCACACGTCACTCTCCAGTTCCAATGAAAATCGACACGTGAACGTGAACGAACAGAGTGATTCGGTAAGTTCGCCTTTCCCAATCACGTGCTAATTGCTTTCATCGAATTCAGGTGACCGAGAACCAGTCGAGTGTGCATCAAATCAACTTACCTACACTCACCCCCTCACCAGTGGTAACCATCAACTCCAAACATCCCACATCAACACTCAGTCCTCCTACAAACCACGTGCAACCGAATCCCCCACACACAACTGGTCCAAAAATCTTGAACGCATTCTCAACAGCTCACATGTCTCAACAACTGGCGATTCCACATGATGCTGGAGTGCTGCAACCAAACACCACCACCATCACCAACAGCAACAACACGGTTGGTGAAGTGACGATTAACCGAGTCGCATTACTGACTCCTCTCCAATGTGTCTCGTTCGGAGTCGCGAAAACCCATACTGCAGACGTATCTCCTATTCAAGAAGTGAATATCTCGAACTCACCATCCAACCAACCGAGTCGTATTCCTCTGACTGCAACAATTGATTTATCAACGTCGAGTGAGGACGAGGAGAGCTGTTCAGAGTTGAGTGGAACGCGAAATCAGGCGAACACGAATGACGTGAATGATTTTGGTGAAAATGCCAAGGATTGTATCACGTAAGTAGGACACCTCTTTTCAACTGACACGTTTCTCCTTATGTTATTCCTATTGTTGTTGTTGTTGTTGTTGTGATACTCTCACCACCAGCACCACACACTCCTGATTAGCTGACTGACTGCTCCACACTGCTTGCTGTGTGATCATGAGAATGTGCACTGATTTTTATGACCATGACTGTCACTGTAGCTCTGTGAGAACGAGACTTAGCAGTAGGATTTGATTCACACAAGCAGTGAGTGAACCACACGACTAGGTAGATGGATAGATAGACAAATAGATAGACAGACGGACAAATAAGCAGTACTCTGTTCACTTACGTTCAATGGTGTTCTATCTCACTGAAGTGTCTTCGTCCCACGTTGTGCGTCACTGAATATCTTGATTATTGTCGTTAATATGGGTTGTTTCTCTCTCTCTGTGTGTGTGTGTGTGCATGCTTAATGAATATGGGGGTGTCGAGTGAAAATTCCTATTGACTTGTGCTTGTCAGTTGTGTATATGGTGTGGTACATTTGATGATTAGGATATATGCGACGACTTCTATGTATATATATAAGCATATGTATATCATGTCTCCTACATCGCCCTGGTGATTATAAACAGATGTTCAAACTGTGACTTGTTTTTGTAGATGCGAATGTGAGAGAACCTCATTGTCAGAGATGTTGATTCACAAGCAAATGAAGTGCCTAGATATGAAGATTGAAATTCTCCAGATGAAGAAGCAATATTGGTCCGAGAAACTGAACTTATCATCGAAAAGCTGAATGTTTGATGAAAGCCAATCTACACATGAACTACCATTGTGATTGTCATCAATTCTATTCACATATGAATAGTAAATTCAATTTATACATATGTATATATAGGTATTGTGACTGACGAAGATTGTTCTTCCTTTTCATCATTATTGTCTATTCGTGGCGTGTGTATGAAGTTGTCTGTCAGTTATTCATTTTGTTTCGAATCCATTTGAAATGGACTATTGTTCAATACTGCTCTGTTTCAAATGTTCACTACTCTATTGACCACTTTGTTGCATACTGTACATAATTAAATTTAAATGTTGGTTTTGTAAAAATCTTATTTTGTCTTTGAATTAATTTGTGAACGTCATCGACAATTGGTTGTGTGGATGACGGATGATACTTGACTTAGATTACAAATATGTTAGAACTTTGTCAATTTTTTTATTTCTTATCATGATGATGAATTGGTTTGATTTGTATTTATTCTAGTGATTTCTCTGTAATTAACTGCCTGATTGATATTTCATTTATGATACATATTGGATATATGTGTAGAGTTGATGTCAACTTCAAATTCTTGATGACCACATGTGACGGAGATAGGAGAGAATAAATGGTCTCATTTGAATGATGATGTTAATAAACATAATAATAATAATAATAATAATAATAATAATAATAATAATAATAATAATAATAATAATAATAATAATAATAATAATAATAATGTTGATGATTATTTAAAATAAATGTACTCTTGTTATATCCCAATAAATATGATTTTTGTATTTTTGACGTTTGTTGATTTATTGTAAATCACTTCTTCAGAGTAAATAAATAACCAACATTATCTTAACTATATGAATTCGGTGTTCATCTTGTCGTGCTAATGAGATACGGCAACTTGGCCGATGCATATATGTGCCAAGTGCTACGTTGTAGCTGACTGACTGAAGTTTTAATAGTATTAATGAATCACAGACACAGTAGATCCAATGTTGTGAACTGGTGGAAAATGAAGTGATTCAAATGATAAAAATAAACAATTTCATGAAGATTTCTTTCTTAGAGCATTGTGTACATTGGTGATTGGTAGAATTTTTTAAATGAGTATTGACCATTTGATGGTAAATGAGCTTTGTCATTAACATTATGCAGTCAATAATAAACTCTTGTGCATATTTTGTGCCGAACAGATTGAACAATTACTTTCGTTTAATAGTTTTCTGAAAGAGTCAGTTTAATTCGATATCATCGCAAAAACAATATTCAAATAATTGGTTCAAGATCAGACTTCGAAACATACACAGCAGTATGAACTGATCAATAATTTCTGACTGCTATGAGTGAATTGAAATGCTGATATTTATGTTCATAATTACTTGTTCACAAACTTATCGTTGAATCATACTCATTTATGTGAACATGACAACTTGCACTCCGAACATGCATTTAATTAATTTGCATAATATGGAACATTCTCTCTCTTCTTTGTAGTGCTTGAATCCAATGACAAAGTGATAAATACAAGAACATCTGAACAAATACGAAAAATTGATCACTTCGATAGGAAGAATAACTATGGAGGAAAATAACTCAATGTAGAGTAGTAATATTAGTAATAAGTCATATGTTATATCATAAAAACATATTGCGTAGTTAATGTCTTCAACTTTATGATCACAGATCATAAGCGGAAGATTTTGAGTGGCTAGTAAGCAATTATTAAATCTGTGTAGACGAGTTCAAGTACAAGACATATCACAAATCAAGAATAGTGAAGAAATATTGAAGTGTCTAAGAACTACTGATAAAAATCAATTAATTTTTACTAGAAAAATTCTATATAATTCGGAATAGCGTAAATCTATTCTCAGATCTAAACAAACATCTTTTCACTACATAAATATATCGTAATTCACGACAAATTTTCTACCTCAGTTATTTCTTGTCATTGCTGGTGCATGTATTAAAGCGATCTCTGCTTAAATTTATATAGAAGAAGTTGAAAGACAACAAACTGTTTGAAATGATTTTTAATCAATTAATTAATTAATCGGTTAATTAATTGATTCAGTAATCTGCTAACGTAATCACAGGATTATTTGATCTCTCTCTGTTGGTAATATTCAAGTCTTACTAGTAACAGTGAACACGAGTACACCTTATCTGATTCAAATTTTCTCATGACATTTACTATTTTCTGATTGGTTGCCACTCTTATTATTCACTAATTTTCCGTGCATTTCAAAGTTGTGATTTCGTTACAGTATATACTGAGTTGTACTTTTTCAAGTTATCCTGTTCGAATTGCATGTTTGTTCCACACTTCGTTTCCTCTCTATGCTAGTGGCTAACTATTGAACGGTTTTGTCTCAACTGCCGTTAACCTATCCACAATAGAACTGTTCACATTGCAATTACTCTGTCGTTCTTCAATTCGCACGCACCATAGGCCAACAGCAAAACTCAACACCGTAATCCGTCTCTATAAAGTCATAAGACAATCTCGTGTTAACTTAAATCAATAGACAAGTGTCATGAATAACTGATATATTGCACAAAGTCGAGAAATGATGAGATTGCAGTTGCTGTCAACTTTCTGTTATGGATGGATTCAGTGTAGCGCATCACGACATGCTGGATGATAAACACAAATATGGTAAGAAGGATGGGTTGAAAGGAAATGCTTGGTGGGAACCACAACATTGCTGATAACCTCAGACAAAGGCGATCATTGGAAAGAAAAGTATATTTAACTGATGTAACTCATGGTACTTTTATACTGAAATCACATTGGTGAACGAACATTGTTAAATGTGGAAAATTCCCATGGTATCCACAGTAGAACTCTTAACACTTAATGGTCAAGCCAATAATGTATGAAAAATAATGGTCGACTGGACAAATTACAAGCAATTATTAAGACAAAACAATACGCATCACACAACTCTGGATAACTAATCGATCAACCAACCAATCAATCTTTCAATCAATGAACCAGGATGTCGATCGGATGTAAATACAAATCGTTTGTGAATGTCGAATGGAGTAGGTTGAACTTTCACACGACAATGGTAACAACAAATGTAGGCACTGAATCCAGACTAATAATACTATCTTTACCAATGAGGTATTCATCTGACTCACACGGAACGACACTTCAGGTAACGTTTGACTTAAGAAGCTAAATCTTTTCATACTATATTAATGTAGACTAAGTTGTAACTTAATTATGATGTATGATATAGTAAAATATGATTTTCCACCTAATACATCCTCCCTTTCTCGAACAACTGGATCAAGACAACTTAGAGTACATAGCAGATAAGTTTCAAAGACAAAACAAGCGAGCTTTCACGGTACATCGGCATCTCCACCGAGTTATCAGCACTTAACTCTCTCAAGAAAACATTAGGCAAACGCAAAAGCATACTAGAACACAACTAACAAACACCTTCAGTCTTCTGTTCTTAAAACACATATTTGAATTTGAATCAGGATCCAGTTATAGGATAACTTATCTTCAAAGTGATCAATTACCACAAACATCCATTCGTCAGTAGACATTGCAACATTACCCACTTGTTTTGTCATACAGATTATAACACTGAAATCTGATAAATCTATAAAACATAGTTTGTAAAGGTCAGTATTTCAAAAATTATTACATTTCACAAATTCATTCCATGTTTACACTTTAAATCATGTGACAGAATGAATAAGGAATACTTTATTTTCCATAAGAAAAAATTCATTTTCAAAACATCGGGAATTGTATTCGTTAAGATCAGATAAAAACGAGCGATCACATTGTTAATTCAGTGTGATTCATGTTCAGTATAAAATTCTTCGGATTGACTTGAGGTGTCACTCACCCACTCAGCATAATATACCGCTTCCAGTTTGTGTGAATTCAGTGTGAAATCTTCAGTGAAAATTGTGCACTTGTCCAAAATATGGACGATACGATGCTTCAGAGTGATTGGCACTGCACAAATATTGAATAATGAAAACATATGTGCTACACATTCACAGACACATATCTTATTTAAGTCTATAATAACTATTTACTCAAATCTTATTTTGATTTACAATAAGCTTCATTGTACCTACTTGATTATTAATATGATGGAGTTGACCTTCAGTTTCTAATAATTCGTACACTGACTAATCGATAGCATGGCTCACTTTTATTAGTACATTTGTATGAGTTACGCTCTAGGAATTCCATCAATCATATGGATATAGAAAAAATAAACAAATATGTTCATCACATCGAATTATTTGATTTATCTGCAGAAATTGACGTACTAGAAAAGGGGAAGCACTGAGAGAAGAAACAGAACTGAAAGCAAATAAACATTCTAGTCCTCCCTTCAAAAAATACGCCAACCACTTCAACCATATCCACTCATTTGTCGATCAATTTCACTGGCGTTTGGTGATTAGTCTTTCAATCGTTTTGAAAATGAATTTTTTCTTATGGAAAATAAAGTATTCTTTATTCATTCTATCACATGATTTAAAGTGTAAACATGGAATGAATTTGTGAAATACTGGTTTTACAAACTATGTTTTATAGATTAATCAGATTTTAAATTGTAGTCAATGATTGGAATTTGCAGGAGGGACGCCAACTTGTGCTTAGTGTCGACGAGGTGGAGAACATTCGTAGTCACATCAGTGATGTATAACAGAAGACTGTGTTCGTCGGTTACGGTTACCGTTGACGCGTGTTGTCTGGGAAGTTTCCCGAAGTGTTTTTCATGTCGGTTGGTTCTGACTCCGGAAATTCGCGCGGTTTTCTGCAATTTCGAGAAGATTTTCTGTACTGATTATGTCACTAGCATCATCACCTGCACCAGTCAGGGTTGTCTGTGTCGGTGTCATAATATTGATCTTCAGTACCTTAGTAGTCTGTTCTGTCATAGCGAATGTGATGTGCAGGAATGAATGAAGGGAAACTATATTACAATACATAAAAATTAAAATAAAGCAATGATATAAGGAGTTCCAAAAAGGAACAGACTCACAGTTTGCGAGTTG